GAACTTTGACTTCCAACCTTACATTAACCAGTCAATCAATGTTTAGCAGTCTTCCTGCAGTGTTTCTTTCCTTTTTTAGTAACATGTTACTGCGGTAGCATAAGGAGTTGGAGACTAACAGGATGAAGCATCAATCTTGCAAGCCGAAATTTGATTACTCGAGTATTAGGTGTTCCCACAAGTTTTTTGGACTGAGACCTTTTACCAACAAGTCAATTAATTCTCATTCTCAAGCAGAACGCAGAGTACCTTCAACAAAGCAGAGCAAGCTCTATAAGTTGTTGTGTAAGATTTGCACTAGTTTAAACTATACCTTGTATTAGAGGCCGAAATCTAGGAATTTTTACATGCCTAAGAAAGGGAAAAAATGAGTTTTTATTTGGGATCTTACCTAATCTCATATGCATACACGTTAATTAGTCCGTATCAGACTTTCATACTTGCCATTGCTGCATAGCTTGCCTGGTATAGCTGGGTTAATTTCCAACCATTCCCTGCTGAGCTAATTTTTTTCTCAGGTGGAGAAGTCCTACGATTTGTGCCGAAACCCTTGCTCACGATAGATGCTTTGCTGCAAAGAAGCGTGTATCTATAGTTCCTGATCCACCATCAATGGATGTGAGCATCAGTCCCACATGTGCAGCTGAAATGCATGCAGAACACGAGTTAAACAAGTATGTTGCGCACTGTTCCTTAATTTTCTAGACGCATTCACTTAGGCTACGAGAAGAGGAGCTTAGCTGCACAAGTATGGATACTCTACGAAAGCTCAGCGAAGGTGAGGTACACAAGCTAAGCGAGGATTGCAGAAGAAAGGTTACGGAGAAACGAAGGATGAGCACGCAAGGCAACTCCGACGGTCTGCCAATCATGCAGGCTTTTCAAAAGGTATCCTAAACAGCCTCAAATTTAAACTTACTCAAGAACTTCCTCAGCCCCCTACGGTCATACAGATCTTGATGTTTTTTGATTTTTGAGGCTGTAGCATTCAAGATGGCCTGACAATGCTTCCTTAAGCTTTCTTATAATTACTACAGGCAGCGGCTCGGCATAAAGACGACTTCAGATAATCATTGTTCTCTCATTGTTCTCTGTCCCCTGAATGCACTTAGTCCGAGACTGTGCTTTGCAGCTTTAAAAGATACCAGTAACCCGCTTTTCCAGATGTGAAAAGTGCTACTTGGGCGACTGCGTATGCCTGCCCATCACAGCGCGATTGGCTCGGTGCAGATATCATACCTACCGTACCCACGAGCCACGCGCTTAAAAAGCAGGTATACGCGTTCGCCCAAGTAGCAACTAACTTTTAAATCTGGAAAAGAGGATTGTTGATATCGTTTGCAGTTGCGAGCACAGTCTTAGACTTAGCTCATCCAGGGGACTGACAACGACAAATATTCCAAATCTGTCATTCTGCCGAGCAGCTGCCTTTGAGGACGAAAGTAGAGTGGGTTAGGTAATGTCGTTTAGTATGGTTCATAAATATTTATTGACTTCATTATTATCTATCATGTTAATTCCATATTTTTACGTGTACAGGCCGTACCCTGATTGCTCTTTGTGCAAACGCGCCAAAGAAATCTACTTGCCATGGGTTGAAGTAACCGCGCAAATATTAGGGAAGAGCGACAGCTTTATGGAGCATGCGCGCAGCGGTAGAG